CCCTCCCGCTCCCACCCTCCACATCTTCTCGCTTTGAAGCTCCCCATTGACGGCCAAACAATGAGAATACGAAAAAATGCAAACATCTCTGCATTTCTATACACAAACTCGAATCATAATCATGAAACCAGCTTCTGTCAGCTCAACCAATCTCCATGGGATGTCATCACTTTCCCACCATCATCTCCTTCGCTCCATCATCAGGTATATATATATATATATATATGTATTTGCATTTTGAATCTCTTCTTCAAATACAATAATCGGATCTATCTGTTGATTTAATCAAAACCCATTTTCAAATGCTCAAAATGTCGCCTTTCTTTCCTTTGTTATTCTCGTTTTTGATTCTTTAACTAGGGTTCATCTGTAAACCCCTTTATATATTTAGGGTTCTTCCCATCCATTATCCATAAACCCTAAAATCCCACGATTTCCGTCGTGAATTCGAGCTCAATAAGTTGATTTCTCACATGGGTTATCTTCGTTTCGCTTTTCTTCGCAATCTGTATCAATATTTTTGGTTCGTCTCTAATGGGTTTATTGTTCTTGATCAGGTTGATGGTTTTGACAGCGATTACAACGTCAATCTTGCTGAAAATTGGAGCTCGGTTGATTCCATTGGAGCTATTGAAAGGTAACTGCAAACATTTTCTTAAATCGAAACCATCTTCTGTGATATCGTTTCGAACCCATTAATAACTAGGGTAATTCATACATGTTCGATTTTCTGACCTCAACTGTGTGTGTGTATATATATATATATCTCTGTATCTATGTGTGCTTCAATTGATTCATGATAAATAGCTAAAGGAACTTTCTATCTTGTAGCGTTATATTGATTTGGGTTTCGAATAAAAATTGATCTTGATGACAGTAATGTTCATGGGAATGTCGACAATAAGGAGGATGATTTAGGGTTTATGGATGGAGGTGAAGATATGGTGTTATGCGGTAAGCCAAATGGGAAAGGATGGGAATGTGGGGAAGTTGTGAAAAATGGCAACATAATGTGTGAAGATCATCTTTTCGATCTACAAAACGAGGCGGTTTGGACAACCAACAAGAAATCACCGCCCGTTTCAAGGTCCACGACGGGGTCTGCAGGGTCACGACCCCGTCGTGTCAAGAAACGAGCTGCCGCGATCACGTCAAACCCGAATGAGTTTTATTACTATTCGGGGTTTGGTCCATCATGGGGCAAGAAAAGAGGACCTGTCGGAAACAAATGTACAACTTTCAATGCATGTGATGTTGTTACCACTAATGGCAGTAATGATTGCGAAACGAGTGGTGTGGATGGTGACGTGGGTGTAGAAGAGGAGGAAAAATGGGTCGAACCTGATACGACCATGATAAAAGAATTATCATGGTCGTGTGAGGCGGGACCCACAAAAGAAGATGTAGATTATATGGACGAAGAGGAAGGGAAAGTGGTGAAAAAAAGAGGGAGAAAGCCCATCAAGGCTCGATCTTTGAAGTCGTTGATGTAAGAATATGTGGCCATGTTTGTTTTTTTCGAATGTTGTTTTTGTGGCGATTTAGGTTCGAAGATTTTGTGTTTTGGATTATTTTGGTGTCATGGTTCTCTTTCTTTTTGGGTGATTTTACGGCACCTTTGATTGGGTTTCCAAAAATAGAAATGGCAATTCATGGACTGTAACATTGGTATAGATCATTTTTAGTAAGGAGTGTCGTACCATATACATGATTTAATTAAACGACAATAAAATATTAAATTAACCGAATAACTTATAATTCGTATTGGGAAAAAACAAGCGAGCACCGAGACTAACGTCGTAAAAAATAGAATTAATTTATAAAAAAAAAAGGTCACTGTTTACAAAAGACTCGCATTTTATTCAAAAAATCCCAAATTTACAGAATTTGAGAATTTATAGATTATGAATCATAAATTAATTTTAAGGTTTTGATTTACCAAAAGTAAATGAAGGTTTAAAAATTGAGTTTTAAAATCGAATAAATATATATATATATATATATATATATATATATTTTTTTTTTTACAATAGGTGCCAATTTTTTAATGAATAAATGATTTTATTATACGCAGCGGCGAAAACAAGTCGAGCCATTTAGTAGGTTATTTGAGCTCAGTTTTAAAAAAATAGTACATGGTTTAATAAGGGTGTTCAAAAAAATCGTTGGACCGTTCAAACCGGTCGAACCAAGTCAAACTGGACCTTTTTTTGACGGTTTGAGCGGTCTGGTGCTTTGGTCTGGTTTGGAAAATAGCAAAATCGGACGGTCTGGAACCTTTTTTGGGCGGTTTGGACCAAACCGGCTGCCAAATACATATATATGTATGTATATATTTATTTATTTTAGTATTAGTAAGCTCAACTTTTTTAACTTATGGACTATGACTCAAATATATATTCTCAAGCCCAACATAAAGTCTAACATATAACATAATCAAAATGGGCGCCTAAAACTATTAAACATATCGACACATTTGACATTGACGGTCTCCAAATTTTGAAATCTCTCAAGAACTCTATCAATTTTTCCTGATCCATGGTTTGATTTCGGCGTACATCATCAAGACATCAACCAAGTGATTCAACCAACTAAGATTTGACTTTTAATTTGTTTGGTCAAGAACTCAAAAGAATAGAAGGTTGTGAAGTCGTGGATTTTGTTACTCAATACTTACAGTGGAGTTGTAATTTTGTTAATTTGTTTGTTTTCTAATATGTATTATATATTTATTTGTTTGGACTTTGGATTGCTTGGACTTTGGACTCAAGAGCTGCTTAATTATTACATTTATTTGTTTAAATATTTTGTTTTGTTAAACTGGATATTTAATCTAAAATTATAACCTATATATGTTTTTTAAGTTTAATATGTAAAGTTCATTAAATACCCAAACCGTCTAAACCGGTCAGAACAGACCGCCTTTTCGTGGTTTGGTTTGACCGCTCTGGGCACTTGATGTCAAACTGCTTGGTTTGAAAATTTTATAAACCGTCATTATGGTTTGGTTTGTGGTCTGAAGGGTTAAACAGTCCAAATTGGACTGCGAACACCCCTATAGTTCAACGTAGGGTTCAAGCTCGAGATTGAATACCTTTTGAATTGTATATCGAGTTTGAACTCTCGGGTCGATTGACTCGTTTATTGGTTTGAATTCGATAATATTTATATTATTATTGCATGATTTATGAACCTATGAACATGTCTGACTTGAAAAAGTGTATGATTAAACGACTCGACTTGACTCAAAAAATTTAATCGAGTTTTCGGATGAACCGAGTTGAATATTGGTGTTATAAAGCTTGGCTCGTTAATTTAAACGAGTTGTATTTTGTGTTTGAGATTGACTCAAACTCGAGAATTGTTAAGTTTGAACTTGAGTAGCTCGTTAAAATCTCGAATCATTTACATGCTTGGATTCATGATGGGTCCCATGGAGTTTTAGGATGAGAAGAGCGAGGGGAAATTAGAACATGATAAAATGAATGAATAAATGCAACATTTGGAGTAGTCGAAAACGAGCTTTCGTTAAACCGACAACTCTAAATTATGTATTCGAGTAATATACTGTTCTCGAGTTTATTATTCTATACAGTTAAATTAATTAATTCTTGTCTATTTCAATACGAACGTGATTCAATATTAGAAAAAATGACCCGTTTCTTCTTGTTATTTTAAACTCGAATTTCTCTAACGTTAATGCATTAAATGCAAAATCAAATGTCACTTTCACCCACTCGTGTTCATCGTTGACTTTCGAATCAAATGTTTGGTTTAGCGTCACGTTTGCGATTTAGATGGAAATCTCTTTACCCATTTACCTTTTACTAGCGGGATAAGTTTAAATTAAAAAGACACGTGAAATCAACGGCAACTGTTTTTGTTCAAGTTGTTTATTTTTTGAGATGTATAACATTATTCTTGCATTTTCACATCCATTATATCGATATAAAACTCAACAAGGTGGTTTAAAACTGATACTTACTTTATTTTGTAGTAGAAACAATTTATACAACTGAATACCGTAACAAAAAAAGGAATGAAGCAATGTGACGATTTTACCCTTAATAGCGAACCATTAGCCATGTACATGTATGGTCTAGGAAACATGATTTAACGGCCAAGTCGTTTTCGAACAAATGCATCTGCTAATTTTGTTTTTCAGACCAGATTTATTTTAAAAAATAACAACCAAATATATCAGTTGATAGACTAAAGACACGTTATGTAATTTATGTTTTTCAAATACAACAATACGTTAAAGCTGACATGGTTACATGTTTATAATATACGAAATGATGGTGCTTTAAATGTTTAAAAATGTACAATGAAATGATTTTGCAAGGTACACAGTCACAACTGGTATGATGTAACAGTGCGTCTTGTACATCAAAGTAGAAAAATACATTGTTTGGTGTATTGCACAGTTATGTGATTTGGCGAAAACTTGATTCATTTGAGTGATTAAGATGCCATTTACCAAACGCTTACTAAATAATCGCTTACCATGTGTCACTTACCTTATCGAGTGAGCATGACAAAAACTGAGAAATTTACCTGGTAAGTTCGGTAGAAGACTCTTACCGAGTTAGCTCTTATCGAGTAAGAGATGCTTACCAACATTCCATTTTGATGGCAAAAGGGGTTGTTTGTTTACTTCTTAATAGTTTCATTAAAAGGCAACATCTAAACCGTTAAGAGGTAAATCTTGTTTGGCAAAAAAAAAAAATTGTCTCTTAATGATTCTAAAACCCTCTAAATGATTTTGTATTATGGATCTTCCTTAACCATTAAGAGCCCTAATTTCAATGTACACAATTAGCAAACAACTATATTTCATTTTGCACTATATCATGAGAGCCTCTTAATCATTCTACACCAAATCATTCAGCAATTGCCAAACAGTTAATCGATAACGTAAGTAAGGTTGTGACTTTTGGCTTAAGCGCTTACTTGATAAACGTTTTATAAATGACACCTAACTATTCTCTCCAAGATAACCTGACTGTTCTAAGTCGAAGTGCTGAATTACACACTCTCTAGTTGATTGAACATACACAAAAAATTTCACTTTCTTACATTTACTTCCATAAAACTGTTCAAATATAAAAAAGATGTACTGTTTTTTCAACATTTAACAGATACAAATATAAATTTAAAAAATACAAGATCTTTATATCGTGTTTATGGATGTTAATATGATCGTAGAAACGAGGATCCGGATAAAATCATATGAAAATGTAATTTTTTGGATAGGGACTGAAAATGAGATATTACATAGTTAAAGGGTCAATAGTGTCAATACAAATACTTGGGAAAATTTAGGGAAGAAACAGAGTTCAAGTCAAGAACAGGTCAATGTCGATAAATTATTTTATTTCTTTCTGATTATTCACCCCAAAAATCCCACCAAACTCCATATTTAAACACTATTATAGCTCATTGATCCATATCTCTATGATTACATTGAATCAGTTGCGTTTAAAGAAAATCAAGTGTTTCATGATTCCAACCCACATCTGAATTTTGTTGCAGAATCAGTCGAGAACAGATTCAAATGGAAAAGAAAACCAATTATTGGATTCTGGGTTGTCTTTATTCGATTCAATATCACTTTTATATTTGTGTCTGTATTTTAGTTGTCTGTTGCTGTTCTTATGAGGTAAATGCTGTTCCATACGACTCTTTCACTCTCTCAAGCTTTACTTATGGCAGAACAGTGCTCAAACCTTACGACTGGCGCTATATCAGAGGTAATCTCACTGATAAATTGGGTGTCTTTTTGGAACTGTTTGATCATTTAATTAAGATGTGATTCTTCAATTTTAATTTGTGGGTCAAGGTGAAATTGAGGAATGTTTGAGTGCATATGTTCAATTTTGGTCGTTTCGCATTTGGATTATATCAGCTGCATCAATGGGTTAATTAGGGTTTTCTGATAAAATTCGATCATCTGCAACTAATTAAGTTCTAATTCTTGATTTAATGATAATATAGATGGTGGGTCAGAGTCAAACCTTGGTAAATTTCAAGTTGGAAGATTTGATTGCGCCTGTTTTGCCATTAGATCCATACATATTTGATGTATAATTTGAACTGCTGTTGATTATAAATAGGGTTTCTGCAGCTATGTGATTATAGAAAAGATACCTTTATCAACAGAGTTATCAAGAAGTCAATCACCAATTCAGATGAAGTTTTGATTCTATAAGAAACATAGACTTGAACTGTTTATGTTCTGTGTGGGAATGTTTCTTGATTTATTTCTTTTAATAGCGGTATTTGATCTTCGTTTTGTTGGTGTTATTAAAGATTACACATTGTCTGATTCTATAGAAGGTTGCTATATTTTATGACTTGGTGAACTTTTCCCTAAGAATTTGGTTATCACGAACTAATTATCTTATTGCAATTAATTCGGACAAAAATACTTCTTGTTTTATATGTTTTTGCCTTCAAAAGAACGAGTGTGTAGGGTCGTGTTGATTTGCTTATGACATTTTTGGTGATTATATTCCATTATTTGGTCGTTATTCGGTACATGGACTTGTTTAAAGATTTTGGTCCCATATTCCTTTTATATAACTTTGAAACATGGGATAAAAAGGAAGAACCGAAGAACATGTGTTTTTAAAAATGATTTATTGCCAAGAGTTTATTGTCGGATACTAATTCATCCTTGTGTTTATTGTTGCAGTTGATTTACCAACATGGTTCTCTTCAATGACCGTATCTTTAGAGTCCAATGTAGATCTTGTAAGTATGGTTGTTTATGTTACCAAAAAGGCTATCTTTTATTAGTAAAAATCTGGCTGTGAAAATGTTGCATGATGCTTTCTTATTCGTTTGATGTTTTACAATCATATCGTGGATGATTTTTGGAGCAAACTTTATATAAATATACCCACGAAATGACATTAGTAAATGGCTGAAACAAATAGGACGGATCCGTGTGTATTGCTTTCTTTTTAGATTTCTTGCTTAACATGGTTTTCATACTTTTCAGGATAAAAATAGTATTGTAACGGCTGATAAAAGCGATCTACCAATGATCTGTGCTCGTGAAGGCAGCCCTCCTTTGCCCGACACACATAATACTTCTTTTACTGGTTTAGGTACAGCATTAACATCTCTAATTCCATTTAATAGATTCTCGTCTTCTTGTAAATTCCAATTTTTGATGAAGCTAAGGTTTCGTTCATACCATTTTGATTTGCAACACAAAATCACATATTCATTTATTCTCAAATGTATAGAATGAGGCTCAGAAAATGAAAATGTTAAAAGTCCAAAACGGATAGGACGTAATTGCATGGATTACGAGCTTTGTCGAACTTTATCATGTCTACATGGTCTAAATTTCCCCCATCAAGCTCGAGTGATTCCTAACTTTACATTTTATAAACACTTATCTGTTTCGCTGTTGCAGTGTTGGATCCCATTTCTAATGGATCTTTGGCAATAGAAGGTTTTCAGTTTGCAGAGAAATGTTATCCTATGCAGAAAAATGTTCTGATAAGACTAACAAACGAGCAGGTTGACTTTTCTTTCTGTATTTCACATTTCGCGTTTGACTTTTTCTATTTCTGTGATGGGAATTATGATAATTGCCATGCTTCTTGCACACACACACACACACACACATATATATATATATATATATATTCTTAGATGGTAACTGAACATGATATTGGTATACAGATTTCTCCTGGAGTATGGTACTTTGGTTTATTTAATGGCATTGGATCCACGAGGACTCAATCAAAGATGGTAACCAATGTTATCCCTAATGCTCCTACCCCTTGTTGTTATATGTATTATGGAATCATCGCGCTCTACTATTTGGGGTAGAGGTCAGGGTTGCATACATCTTTCAATTCTACCCTTAATTATGATAGAGGGAGTATTTCTAAAATGTGACTTTTTCATCGTGGACATTTATCTTGGGATGGAGGAAGTAACGATGAGTTATTTCCAGAAGACTCATGTATTGTCTTGTCACTACAGATAAATCGAGGTTCGGGGTATTCTTTTAGTGGGAATGTAAGCGTTGAAGGCTGTTTGAGCCCAGCCGTTTCGGGCCAATTCTGCAATCAAACAATTGATCATCTTTCATGCGTTGACCAAAACTCGACGAATGGAATCATCACTTCTTGTAAAAATGATGGCGAGCGTTCTTGCATTCATGGGAACGAATCAAAACTCTACTCTTTGGATTTACTGGGAGTCTCAGAAGAGCTCATTATATCAGCGACAAATGTCATATTTAACCAAACACAATCAAACGGTGCAAGTGATGGTAGCCGTGTCGTATTGATGTGTTATGCCCGACATGGTGCCATATCATCATCATCTGCACATGATTATTCGGGTGATATCAATAGCGCCCCTTTGGTAATACGATCGCCAAAAGTTGGTCGGTGGTATATTACCGTTGTACCCCTCTCAAATGAAACCGTGGGGAACATGACTCTTTGCTATTCGTTGGAGTGGAAATTGCTTCATTGTCCTATAGACAAAACCGGATTAAACTGTACGTGGGAAAGATACATGCTTCAGGTTGGCTAATATCACTTTTAATCAAGTTATTTGCAAATTAATGTAACTTTAGATGATATAATTCCGTCTGCAGTTCCTACCTTAAGTTTCATGCTGCAAAATGCTACCTTATTTGTTTTATTTTGATGTTACTCGCACACGTTAGCTCTGTTTTTTTTTCAGCATTAGTTACTGCTTAATACCTCTAACCAAACACCCTTAACTCTGTTGTTAAGGGTAAAATTGTCATTTAGTTAATTCGAAAGTGTAATAATTACGCATTTCTAAAACTGTGTGCCTTTTTCATCATGGACATTTATTTTGGGACGGAGAGTGTATTTTGATTACCATTTCCTTTATGCAAGGAGAAATTAAGGTGGGACACACATCTAATTTCTTCGCTCATTGGTTCTTTAATTTGATTCTTATAGAAAATGCGTGGAATATGCAGACAATTCTGAGGAAGAATCCCGCCGTACCTTTCGAATCATATTATTTGCCGGTCAGCGATAAAGTTTCTTCGAATTCTGCTAATTTCCTTCTCGAACCTCTCCTTAGCAACTCATCGCTCGCTCAAAGTCAACATCTTGCTTGGACTTATTTCGTAGCAGATATCCCTTTGGGTGCAGCCGGAGGAAGTATTCATATCCGAATGAATTCAGATACAAAAATAAATCACGAAATATATGCATCATATGGTGGACTACCATTTGAAGATAGATGGGATTACTTTTATGCGAATTCTACTAGCAACAGTAACGGTTCTATGTTCTTTAAGCTGTATGATTCGGGGGAGAAGACGATTAGTTTTTATATCGTGTACGTTAGAGGAGGAACATGGAGTTTTGGTGTCAAACATTTGACTTCTGCTGGAAATGCCTTGAAAAGTCAAACTACCATGTCTATTTCGATTGAAAGATGCCCAAGAAGGTGCTCGTCTCATGGAACGTGTCAAAATGTTGTCGAAATGAGTGGTTTGTCTCTATACAGGTATTCATACATGTCCACCTCTTTTGGTCGTTTTTGGTGATTGCCTATGAAAATTTGGTTATAGATTGCAGGTAATCTTTCTTTACTTAAATGTTGGAATAGAGAATCGAGCATCGCTATACAGATTTTTATCAAATAGCATTTAAGTTCTTCGTGAAGTAGTTATAGAATGTTCGTTTTGCCACTTTTCTAGATGTTTTAACTGACTTGTTGCTAAATTACATCAGCTACTGTTCGTGTGATCGTAACCATGGAGGTTTTGACTGCAGTGCTGAAATTGTCTCACATCGAGGTAAAATCTATGATAAAATTACGAAAATGCCCTTGCTGGTATCGACCGGATGGACGTGGTTTTGCTGTGCATGTATTGTGTTTTTTGTCTTCCTGTTGCCGTTGTTAGGATCTACAATCACACACAAGTACAATAGTTACATGAAATGTAAAATCGAACATGGCATGTGTGCGGTTCAACAATTTGTCTACTTTTGTAGCGATTCCTTGGATTCTAGGAAGTACATAAGAAGACTACGGGTCGGTTTACTATTTCTTTTTCTTGCATTAAGCCCTGTGTCTGTGTGGGTTAAGCTGTCTGTCTGAACAAAAATGTATTGCTGTTTTTGTTTCTTGAATCAACAGTCTTAATGACTGAAATGAGCGTTTTATCCCTTACCATGAATTAAGCATTTTATGATGTAAGGATATATGAATCGTGCGCTCTCTTGTAGGGCATGTATGGCAATCGGTTTCCCTTATTGCATCAAATGCTGCATTTGTATTTCCGGCTTATTGGGCGCTCCGACAAAAGGTAACAATAATCATTGACTCCCAATTACGACGCTTGACTTTTTCGAAAGTCAAAAATTCGTTGGAGGAGACACAATGTTCCGTTTTTCTTTTCCACGAGACAATGTGAAATGTATAACAACATTTTGCAGGCATTTGCGGAGTGGGTGTTATACACATCCAGCGGAATTTCGAGCGGCTTATATCATGCATGCGATGTTGGCACCTGGTGTGCTTTATCTTTCCGGGTCTTGCAGGTACAAACTTATCTTTTCGGTCCCTCACTATCATCAAGTGAGAGTTTGAAGAGCTATACCGAATCATTTTCTGAACTTTCAGGGAAGAAAATAATGATTTGACCCCTATGTTATTGATTTATTTTTAACACTCACAGAAACAGCCACTCTACACTTTGGGTAGAGGTAAGGTCTGCATACATCTTACCCTTCTCAGACTTCACCTCCAAGTGGGATATACCGAGTTTGGTTTGATTTCATTCTCATATGGACAAACCGGCCAAATGGACCAAATCACTTTCTAGTTCGGTTGATAAGTAGGACCGGTGGACAAAAAACCGTTAAACATGAGCTACCACGACCAAACAAAGTAATTTTAGGAGTACACCGATCAAAAATTATTTACTCGTGATTCACGAGCCGACCAAATCAGCGGTATATCTTTTTTTGGTTGTTATGCAGTTCATGGATTTTTGGCTTTCGTTCATGGCTGTGGTAAGCACTTTCGTATACTTGGCTGATATTGATGAAGGTTCAAAGAGGACAATTCATACGGTTGTTGCCATTCTTACGGCTCTTATGGCTGAAAATGGAGCTACAAGGTAAGCTTGATATGCTGTGGGGCCTGTACTTTTGCATAAAAAATTGCAACTTGTTCATGTTTTTTTGTCTATGCATGCGGGAGTTTAAGACCCACGAACGCTTCGTGGGTTGTAATATGTTCATCAAGGGTGCGTTTGGCACCTAGGACAACATTTGACAAAACAAAACAAAAACTTGTAGTCCCATGTTTGGCTGACACAAGTAGGACAACTTGTCCCACCAAAATAGGTGGAATATTTTGGTGGAACAAGAATCAGGAAGATGAGACAAGATTGGTAAATTACTAAACCATCCATATCAATTTAAAACCCTAAAAACTTGTACGATTCTTTCATACGCCTACCTCACGTTTACCCGTTCAATCTTGTCCAGTCCTGGCCGCATACCAAATGCAGCCCAGGAGTTGTATTTTCTCTTTGTTTTGGTTTTTTTCTTCTAACGGGTTTTGATGCTTATGATTTCACAGATCCTCCAACATTGTTCTTGTTATAGCAATCGGAGCAACGGGTCTTCTTGTCGGCTTTTTGATCGAGTTCTGTAGGCATTATAGGCGGTTCTCGTTTTCAGCAGAACTCTTCCTAAATCTGATTCATAGGTGAGGTTTATAAAATTTCCGACAATCTTAAAGGTTTAATATAATTTTGAAGTTTTGGATTAGTCATTTGGCAAGTTCCCTTTTTCAGGTGGCACACAATTAAACAATGGTGTCGTAATCTCATAAAGACGGTTCTTAAACGTTTTCGGTGGTTCTTTGTGCTCACCGGATTCGTTGCATTGGCCATGGCTGCCATAAGCTGGCACCTGGAATCGACCAATAGTTATTGGTTTTGGCACAGGTGAGTTTACGAGTACTTTCCGTATCATCAAACTTCTAACTCAGATATCAACTCACTGAGTAAACCTCCTATGATCTGGGGCGATGTTTGCCAATTCGAGTCATCATAACAAACACAATATAAGAGTACATTGACACAGCAAAACCCCTATATGAATAGGGATCATGTTATTACAAACCCCCCCCATTATGTTTTAAAGAATTGCAGTTTACCTCCTTGAACATTTTCTATGTTGGCACTTCCACACAAAATATACCTTTTATGTCAAAGGCGAGTCTTTTCTATGGGGTTCGAAACCGAGAGTATAAACGTGAGAAGTCCAAATGTCCTATATACGCTATCTATATCTCGGTCATTAATGTTGCAATAATATAATTCATTTTGCAGTATATGGCATGTGTCGATATACATTTCTTCCTTCTTGTTCTTGTGTTCGAAAGTAAATCCACTGAATTGTGCAAATGGAGAGCCTCGGAACACAAACTATGAGTTGACTCGACAAGATTCTCTTTCGAGAAGTCAAGGGCAGCCGGAAAATGGGCAAGCTAGGTAGAAGGTTTGTTTATTCTTTGTAATTTTTATTGGAATGGTGTTGTAAGAGGTAAGGTAGAAGAAATGTAAATGAGAAGGGTGAGAGAATATATGATAAAAGCAAGAAGTTGAGGGGTGATTGTGTCATTTATGTAAATGCAAAGGGGTCTTTAGAGATTTCTCAAAGTTTGTATCATTTAACTTCTGCCCACACGTGGAAATGGAAATCTCAAAAGAAAGGAACAAGTTGCATATGGATCCTTTTTTTGACCCTCATTAATGGACATATACAACGGGTGTTAACACACAAACATTGTTGCTTTTTTATAACGGTGAAATGAAAATATAATTATAAACGGTAGTCGTTATTTTGAATAATGATGCAAAACTAAAATGATAAAATCATATATGTATATTCAGAGAGATAGAGGTAGGTTCATACGAGAATGATACATATTTAAAAAAATAGAAGAACAATCACATTACGTATAAAATCAAACATGATTTTACATTAATGGCCAAAAAGTGTGTGGGCGACCCTACAGTCACATGACTAGGTCGTGTGAATCACATGTGATTTTGTAGTTGTTAGTGTAAAAACACATGTGATTCGACCATTCTTTTATTTTCTTAAATAAGTACAATTTTTCGTATGAATGAGACTCTCTCTCTGTATGTTAGTGTGGGTTGATGAGGCTTTAAGGTTGGATCTGGGGATGGGCTTGGAATTATTAGGCTTGTTTCAGCTTTGATTGGAAGGAACCGAAACAAGTTGCAATGAAGATGAGCCAAGGAATCAGAAGACAGAAGGAAGGTTGTATAATCAGTTGGGGATCAAAAATGGCAGAAGCTATTCACTCCTTTCATAGTTATTGTGGCATTTCATTTCATGTAGTAGCACTATGTGTCATTGAGTTGAGCAAGATATTGCCATTTAAGTGTTCTCTACACGATCATTGTATTTATGCAGATTTCAAATCTGTTAGTGATGTTTTGGGATGCCGAATGATGGATATACATGTTTTAGCACAAGAAAAATGATGTTACGGTGGTTGACTATAGGCTATTATGCGATGAACGCGACCCTGAATGTGGTTTCGGAGATTTCACATGTGAATGGCAGACAGCTCTCCTATGAGAGCGTGGAATTTTAAGCTATACAAGGAATCAAGCAAGCTGATATAAGTTCATCTAGATGTCAACGATGAGAACTCATATATATAAATATTATATGCTTTAAAAAGTAAAAAGGAAAAAAAGCATGTGTATGATAATTAAATGAGCATGCTATGGCCTATGTGTTCACACTTAAAAAAGCTTTAAGCATGCTAAATCCATTACATGTTTCATGTAAATTAAAGATGTAATGCAATGGGGCCAGGTATAGGGACACCGGTTTTGACTACACTAGACGGATACCGCAATTGATGCAAGACGTCAAGACATGTAATGAAAGGGATTTACCTCTGAGCTTGAGTGGTACATTAGTATATATCAAGGTGAGACCCCCGTCGTTCCGGTTCATGTACAAGCTCTTGATTGTTAACATTCGGGTCACATGTTTGACAAGACAGAACAACTGTTCTCACGAGAATAAAAACATGATATAAAATAAGAACATTACCAAATCCAAATGTAGAAACAAACCATGAATACTGTACAAAAGCCTGGGCTCCAAACACTAAATCCTAAAACCGTTCCTTTTTCTATTTTTTTTAAAAATTATAGGGTATTAGCCTTTTTTTAACGTATGTACCTTAACCAACCCTCCACAAAAAAATAGAAAGACGTGCAAAACAATTTGATATCCTACAACCTTATACGAAAACTTGTCCCGATTATGAGAATATTTGGGGTCAGTTTCACGTCTATTTGTTTGTTTTGTGTCTTTTTCTTTCCAACCACATTATGAGTATATATAATGATGATGATGGGAAATGGAAAAATAAAGTAAGATGTGTCAACCCAACACTTCTTTGTAATCCTTTCGGATGTTCCATAAAACCTCAACACATCTCCTCATGATGGGCCTGTTTTGTCGATGAGAAGCAACGCATTGTAAAGCCAGTTCTAGAATCTTCTCTAGAGCCGAAGCATTCACATCTGACTTTTCTAGTCCTGGATCCAATATCGAAATGGCAACGCCATCCATAAACTTCTTCATCGCCTGTATTTATACGGAATCAGTAACACAATACATTTCCAAAATTTAGTGTCATAACAATATCATAGTTATAGTGATGCCATGTGACACACATACATGCATAAAGCTAAGTTAAAATGAAAACGATAAATATTTGGAAAACCACAAGAACTGGTATATGCATATGTTTATATTTCTAATGGAACTGTATATTAATTAGTGTTTTCGAGTACATACCCATCGAGCTGTTACACGTTCTTTAAGTTCCCTTTTCGCTTCAATAGGTCTCCGCCCAGTGACTAGCTCCACAAGCAATATACCGAATGAGTAAACATCGCTCTTCTCGGTGAGTTGATATGTCCTGAGGTATTCAGGATCTAAGTAGCCTGCAGTCCCTTTAACCTGGGTCGATACATGGGTCTGACCTGATTCTGCATCGGCTGCTAGCCGTGCAAAACCAAAGTCAGCAACCTTGGCTCGTAGTTTTTCAGTGAGCAGGATATTTGAAGACTTGATATCCCTGTGAATTATAGGGTGATCTGCATACACAATCAAACATCACATTTATTATACGGTATGACTTATCAAACAAAACCAATGTGCATTTGGTGACAGGACCGGACCGGCTAGATTGAGGTATTTTAGAGTTTTAATTTGATATGGGTATTTAGTAATTTACAAATGCTGTCTTTATCTCATCTCCTTGATTATTTATTTTGGTAGGACAAAAGAATGAATTTTTGTCCCGGGTTGGTGTGGTCCATTCCTAGTCTAATCTCGCACCAAACATGGAACAACAACTTTTTGTACCGTCCTGTCTCACGTACCAAATGCACAGTAAGGAGACCGAGTACCTGTATAAGTGTGCAGGTAAGTAATAGCGTGGGCTACGTCTATAGCGATATCCAGCCGAGAGGCAAGACTAAGAACATTGCCATTGAAACCTGCATTTGCAGATAGCTGTTCATTGAGGGACCTTTTGTAACAAAAATGAAAGCTGATGTACTGTCATTGCAATTTAAAAAAACGTATGACTGAAATGAGGAATTAGCTATCTCAAGAGACCATTTTGTAATTTAGGGGTCTTTACCGGCACTTAATGGTAAGAGTCGAATACTCTCACTTACATTTACCAATTCTAGTCTGTCAAAATGGCATTTAATGTAACAATATACCCCGTAACCGCTAACCGGGTAAAGGTTGTCACCTTCACTTTTTTTTTTGAAAGTATATAATATTTATATACGACGAATAGAACAAATAAACTCATACACCCTCCTCATATTTAGTGAGGTTTGAACCCTAACCTCCTAGGAGGCCAAAGACTCACATACCGCTAGGCCAAAGACGTTTGGTTTGTCACCTTCACTTATCGGGTAAGACTCTTGTTCTTTGTGCTCTTACAGATAACGTTCCCAGTCCTTACCTTGTCAACCCGGTAAGAGGTAAGTGATCCGAGAAGCGCTTACTGAGTAAGAATTTTGTAAATTACACCTTAGTCTTTAATAAAATAATAACACTTGTCAGCTATTAACCCATGGATGTGAGGTTATTATATACATCGAAGTATTAGAAAATTTCTCAAAAACAAAACCACGATAACCAACTTTGTTAGGCAAATTATGACATTCTTTTTGTTTCTCTTACGAGGAGGAAACAACTTACATTCTAAGTGTTCCCGAAGCGTCCCGTTCGGGACGTATTCAACAACAATGATTCTTTCATCTCCATGTTCCAAGTACCCGTAACATTTCACCAGATTCAAATGCTCCACCGTCGATAACGCCTGGATTTCACTCTGGAACTCACCTCCCAGATTCTTGTCATACATACTCTGTACCAAAAAGCCAAATGAAGCAACATTGATCTCAGTAACATGAGATGAAAGCTTCTGTCTTCCCTCCATTCACTCATGACTCATCTATGACAATTGACTTGGAACTGGATTTGAACTCAGAATTTACTGCTTAATTTTGTATAATTGAAAGCTACAAATGTTAGGAATATGCATCTGGGATGCACAACTCATTGTATGCCTGGATGTTCAGGGGATGGTAAAGCATTTTACACAGTCTAACCTTTTTGGCACGTTTCACGGCGACGAGGGTTCCATCTTGGAGCTGACCTTTATAGACAGTCCCGAATCCGCCTTGTCCAACTTTAAGAGCCGGAGAGAAGTTCTTCGTTGCCTTGTGGATTTCCGCCAGAGTAAACTTTATACTTCCGGGCTCTCTCATGTGCGTTGAATCATTCCGGGTTGCGTATATACTACGGTTTGCGCCTCGTTTCCTTCCATCGGTAGTATCAGAAGCTCCCGAAACATCTGCAATATTCAATTCGGTTCTTTCACAATGGTACCATAAGCTCTGAAAACACAAAGATTACAATGCCTGGCAAGTTTCCAGGTTTTGGTTAGCAGGTGCATGCATTCCATGGTCGTACAATAAGAGCTCAGGGGTCCGCTTATGGGGTTATAGCCTTAAATTTGTTAATCTGGCGTTTAGCACACAATTGAAACCAACAATATGGAAATGAACTGACTTGTTATTAACTGGTAGCTAGATGGGCTTTAAATAGCCGTACAATACAAAGAGAAGTAAAGAACGTGCAACCTAACAAACTAAGATAAAAATGGACTCATCCTAAAGAATAGGACTTTATTTAACAACCTGTTTACCAAGTAAACAGAGACTTGGTAAACCTTATGATTACCCCAACAAAATTTTGGTGGTGAAATTGATCAAACCGCAGGAATTCACAGATCCATTCATCATTCATTGAAATCTCCATATTTTAAGCAGTGATGTGGCATACTACAAAATTGTTCATGTGCCACAATGAATGACTGAATCGAATCTATTTCAAAAAGTACAAGTGATTATAACGTAATTACACCAGATCTCGTCATTTCCGTGATCAAAAAATGATTTACCTAAATTACTAATTTGATACTACAATTAATTCAACTCAAGAAAACCACTGCTTCGTGTTTAACTCGAGAAAAGCAGAACGATTAATTCAAAATTAAAACTACAATTAATCACCTGATGTTGAACTGAATGCATCAGAACCACCAAACCCAGAAGAGCTCTTATGATGCGTCTCCTCCTCGGGTGGTGTAAAACAAGCAACAAAAACTCCGGCGACGGATCTCGCCGCAACTTTGACTCGGTTCCGGCTAGGAGTTGACGTATCCGACGACGATTTGGATGAGTAGGTAGAGTACGAGCTTGGGGTCGGTGAAGGAGGATAATTAAAACCGTCAGGTGTACGCTTCCCGGAGCTATCTTTCCGGTTACCGTACATCGTTTGTCTGGGAGAGAGAGAGAGAGAAGAGAGATATGGCGGGTAGTTGTGATAACGTACAGACGGGATACAACGACTTTGATTTTTATGTAAAGGTGGAAGCGACTAACGTGCGCGTGGGTAAACGCTGACATAAGCATCCAGCTGGACATACGCCACTTGTCATTTATTGCACATACCAACCCCTACCGATTTATATTTTTCTCAATAATATCCCTCACATTTTATTTCATTTTCCGCTAATATTTTCGACAATTACGATTTTTTAATTAGAAATTGGTATATCCTATAACAAAGAAAAATTTAATATCATAACATCTCCCATAGGCTCTTTTAGAAATACTACAAATTTACTTACATAATGCAGCGAAATATATCTTGATTTTAATGTTTTATTTTATTTTTTTGGTCTTTATCGATATTATAATATGAATTTATGTGGTTTTGAGCAAATAATTGTGTTTCTTTTTTAAAATATAAATTTAAAGGTACCATAAAAATTAAAAAAATACATAACAATTATCATTTTTATAATTTAATTTACGTTTAATGAAGAAGTAATTTGTTTTGGTTTAATAATATAATTTTTATAAAGATAATAATTAAATATTCTGTTAGAACTCAATAATTATTCTATTTATATTTTAGATATATATTAAATAAGAATTTTATCCTGTGTTTGATTATATTTATTTACAGTTAGTTACACGAATTCAAATATGAAGCTTAATAAGTTGTATTTATGCACAATTTACTTGTAATATTGAATTTTAAGTAATATGCATCAATACAGTACTTCATGCATAAAATAATATGAAACTTAATAAGTTGTATTTATACTCAATTTACTTGTAATCTTGAATTTTAAGTAATATGCATCAATATACATGGTAGAATGAAAAAGTATGTATTTACCTTTGAAAATGAACACTTATTTAAAGATATACTAAAATAATAATGTAGACACTTGTTTGGAACGAAAAAAAGTATTTTATAATGCTTTAGTTTCTAATTTAATTTGGTCTAAATCGTGAAGTTAAATAACATCACTTGAAATATAAATATCAAACTTATGGGAAATCAACACCAATATTGAAAATTTCGGTAAGTGAGCTTCTTAAATCATCCGACTGGATCTCAAGCTTCGGCTTGGTTGAAATCCGTCTGCCAAGCTACACTTTGGCTTGCGGCATACATGATATGTGAACATCGTAATCAAGTGATTTTTGGGAGTAAATATTCGTCCGTAAACCTCGTATTTACTTGTATACAAACTAGTTACAACTGCATTTCGAAAAGAATTATGAAAGGTTGTTTATCGCAGAGCCTTTGGCTCACTGCGTCGTTTTTGACATCCTCTTCAGTGTCGTGAGTTCTATCAGTCATTCTTATCCCAGTTTTGATCCTGGGTGGTCTTGGTTACTGCTGTCGTTTTTGTCCTATCTGTTTACATTATTTCGATTTAGCCTTGTTTCGTGTCTGTTTGTTTCAGGTTGGTTCTGTAGTTTACAGATTTTTCTCGTTTTTCTATACTTTCTTGTCTAATTAAATCGTCTGTCTCTAAAAACCCATAAGTGAAATCGCTCAAATCTCTCAATTTAAATGATATTAAAATTAATTAGAAAGTTTTATTAAAAAGAATTAATTAGAAAGCAAGTCGTTATAAATGGACTATTTATGGCGATAACTCTAAGAATTAATATTTAAACCAAATTTACGTATTAATAAATTGACAAAAACTTTAATTCGAATTTAAAATTAATAAATGTCGTTGAAAAATGGCTTAATTTCTACAAATTATTATTAAATATCATTTTTGTTGGAAAAAGACACATCAATTGAGGTGAATTGTATATCTATATTATATTATAAAGTATTTGACGAAAATTATTAAAAACCTCTTTTATGCGTAAAGTACTATTTATTAATGCATATTACTTAAAACTCAAGATTATAAGTAGATTGTGCGTAAGTACAACTTATTAAAGCTCCATATCTGAATTCGTGTAAATAACTGCAGATAAACATAATCAAATACAGGATAAACATCTCATTTTAAATA